GCTATAGGTTCCACCGAGGAGATATTAGTGGCCAACCTTGGTGGACGTTATAAAGTCCTTGTTCAAATCTCAAATATATCGCAATGTAATTTGTAAGGAACCACTCTGGGGATTTTAAACTCGATCTTATGAGCTGCAAAGAAATTCAGCATGTTCCCCACACAGCCCTCACCAGTACAGCCTCAATTTATAACAGTGAACAGGTCCGCATATTTAGTTACATGGTATTAAAATCGTCAAAATATTTCCAGTGTTGCATACAGACCTTAATAACGATTTATATCTTTAGCTTATTACCGCATTTCACGACGTGGTTCCAAAAACATGTATCTGACTAATCTGTGTTTAGTAGGGCTACAGCTTCGGTTGATGGTCTCAAAACGACAGTCACCTCAAATTTGTCCAATAACTGGAATTTTACAACGCCCAGCTCCGGAATATCGGAGACTTATTTATTTCCTACGGCCCCTGGATATACCCAAGCTAGTAAGAGTGACGCTGAGTACGGCTGTATCCATTACAAAAGGTGGGAGCACGTTTTGTTGATTATGCAGGTTATAATATATGGTATTATTATGTAATCTCCATACGCCGCTTTCTTGGATATACAAAATCAACAACGCCTAGTTTCCTAGATACGGCCCGCACTGGCTTGTAGGCCTATTCTCCCTAATAAAGAACCCTCTTTCCCGGTCTTTGCAACCTCCCCACGTGCCGTGATAGATGCTTAGGTGGATTCCTTTCTCTTCATACACATACAAGGCCCCCTGCCCTGATTTTCGAAACTATTGTTCATTAGGCTTAAAGATCTCTGTGCCGACAATAGTACGGACTTCTTCCCTTGTATAAAACCTTAGGTACCAAGTTTAACGTCATGTTAAAAAGCAGCCGCTATTCCTTCGATAGAAAAGGGTACAATGCCAAGTCACGACGTGTGGGCGCGTGCAATGTCGACCCCAGCCGACTGTCACAGTATACGTCTTTCACGAGGCTCTTCGGGCCACACTCCTGTCACGGACCGGCACAATGGAACCCCGTAATCTACCAAGTAATAGACCTTAGAATTGAAGATGGAGAGGGAAAGAGGGAATCTACAAGATGCGTGTGCTCGTGCCCCGCACTTGAGCACCAGGCGTTGGGGCAAGTGCACGGCTGGGTCAGCAGGCCCTCATGCCACGCCATGACAATTCCCTTCTGTTCCCGCACCCACCTAACCCACCTTCAAGGGCTGCGTTTCGGGGTCGCTACTGTTCGCGGACAGCTCGTTAGGGTTCGGTGGGAAAGGCTTTTAGTTGCAATGCAAAATATCTAAATGCTGTTAGAGATCACGTAGGGCAAAGAGGCAAAGCTGCAGTCAGCACCAGGTTGATATGACTATCTAAAGGTGAAGAGTACAAAGGAGGGATTGGGTGCGTTGCACCCATTCCCGCGTGCAGCGTTTTCTCCAACCGTGGGTCCAGTGCACGAGCCCCCTGTCTGATCAATCGCCACAGTGGCTCAGCGACTCCCCAGGCGCCACGCCACAACAGTTATCGTTATGCAAGGCATCCGCGCGTGCGTTATACTCGATTCCGTATAATTCAAAGCTTTGACTCCTGTAACGTGCTGTGCACAGGAAGGGGTTCTCGCTGGGAGATCTCAGAGGTTCAGGTCACTCAGCTGTCTGGAGGAAGCGTGCGGAGCAGTGGTGTATTCTGCAGAAGGTGCCTACCTGCACCAACAGAAAAAACAAGAAATAAAAAAACGGTTGCTTGCCCTCCAAACCCCTTCACAGGAAGTCTTGCGGGCCCTAGATATGCATGATGCTGTCGTGGCCTCCGGCCATCACGCCGTGGACCTTCTTGGACGCTTGGACACGCCCAAGGGGCCGCCTGTGCTCATGTCGTTAGACTGGTCGTCAGCTCGCGCTTGAGCCGCCAGGTTGGGCATGGACCGAGATGCCCCAACATCTCTGGGGTGTTACAACTCCCTAGCTTAAACTGTCCCATGTGCGACTAGTCGAAGATGCAGACAAGTGGGATTAACCCGACAACCCTTTACATTTACAACGTGGGGTGCATATAAAACCCATATTGTTCACCTCACCCCAGGGTTTACAATAACGTGGCCGAGGCGGCACTTTAGCGATGTATCTGTAGCTTCTTTCCGACTGCATTTTAACAACACGCCTAGGCGTCTCACCATCTAAAGAGCGCCAGTAACGGCTAAAAACCTGTCACAAATACTATCGGCCCAGATTGTGGGCTTACAGGCTTGTGTGGGTCTGTGGAGTTATGGATCTGTGGATTTGTGGATCTATGGGCTTGTGGGCTTGTGGGTTTGTGGAGTTGTGGGTTTGTGGAGTTGTGGGTATGTGTGTCAAAGGTGAAATTGTTGCGCCGGCCGTGCATGGGAAGGCGTAAAGGTATCGTGGTGCAGCCCAGTATGTCGGTGTGCGTTATTCCCTGTCACGGCCATGGTCGAAGACTAAACACAGACAATTAGCGCTATGAACGAAGATTCTAATCTAGTGGAGAAAGGAAGGAAAAAGGGGATTCCGGTGTTCGGCGCGCGTTCAGCGCGTCTTGATCATGGTCTGTCGTGTGGGTCCTCGTCTGTCGGTCAAGGCCCACAGGCCTTGACCCAGATCGTTACATCTTGTACATAGAACATGGAACAGCTTTTAGATATTTTGCATTGCAACTAGAAGCCTTTCCCTCCGAACCCTAAAAGGCTGTCCGCGAACATTAACACCCTTGCCAACTTGGCTAATTTAAAGCCAAGTTTAACTGAATATAAAAAGGTTATATTTAACTACGTAAGGAACTTAATTTAATTGTCTCGGATTTTTTCATGGCCCTTTTAATATTAGTTGAAATACTGGGTAGTACACTGTGCAGAATGTATGAGTTAACCTAAAGCAGTAATAAGAAAAATCCAAGAGAACCTTTTTAAATTCAGTTAAATTTAGCTTTAAATTAGCCAAGTTAGCAAGGGTGTTTAAAATCACGTTTAATATGAGATTTCTAACTGGCCCACTAACTGATGTGGCCCACTCACTGATGAACCACGTCATACATATTGATTTATTCTTTCCGTATCGTTACTGTGCGTTGATATACTTTAGCACGAAGTGGGGCGAAAAATCAACAAACCGAACGGGCGCTTAATTCTACGCGGTTTAGTGTAAATAAGTTCGCCGCGAAGGAACCGTATTTTCCTGCGTGAAAGTTTTTCTAGGCAACGCAAATTCGCTCCTCTTCCCGCATGGAAATTCAAATACTGGTAATTCAGATTCTCGAGGCCTTCTTACCATATAAGACTTAAAAGTAAGTGTAACTGGAAGTTGAAATGGAAAAAAGAAGGAGTTTGACAAACCCCCGCAGTACGACATGTCTGGTGTGCAAGACTTTAGCAGTGTACACTCTAGCCCAAGGGCAAGTAAGTGTAATGGCAATATAAATTTGCCGAAGCCAGCAAAAGCCCTTACAAAAAAGAGACGGGCGAACCGATATAAAAACTCACCGCCGTTTGTGCTTTCGGTAAGCATTTCCCCCTCTTTGTTTCTTTTTAAAATGGTTATTCTCCTGTGTTTTTAGTTAAAGCGCGGCCGTTACCAAGGCACAGGGTGTTATTGGTTGTATTGCAAACGTTCCCCGCTTTATCGCAGCTTGCACGCAAACTTAAGATTGCGCCCTCAGAATTCATTTCCACTATTAGCGCCGCTCCAACATAACGATTTTATGTTCTTTTCCCACGTTGCTACTATAAAATAGCTAGCAAAGATAGCAACATACGAAACAAAACTAACATATGCCGTTTCTTTTTTTAAATTTTTTGTTATAGCTTAGACGGGCACGAAACCGAGCCTCCCAAAAAGCGTGCCGCGCGCGCAAGGAACAGCGGATCAAGGACCTGGAACAGCACAACGACCTTCTCAAAAAGGCTTATCAGGCGCTTTACTCTCAGTACATCGACCTTGAAACGCAGCAGCTGTTTAACCAGACAGCCAATAATATATACAGCGCTGCCCCGGCCAACGTGGATCCCTCTGCTATAACCATAATCCCTACCTCGCTTGAAGCAGAGTTGCAATGGGACCAGGCCATGTGGGAGGCTGACGAGTTTTTGGCGGGGTTGGTTGTCGCCCAGGCGACGACTCCTGGGGCATCCAATGATGACGCGGACCTAACCTTAACCACCACCTCGACGTACGCGGACCCGACCGCTGTTGGCGACCTAACAATGGAGCCCGCACTTCACGTCAACATCACTGAGCTGCAGGAACACTCATGAACCAATACTAGAGGAACGTTTTCTCCTTTCTTTGCCAATTTTACTAAACTGCGCTTATATTTAAATGGTTATATGGCTACGTAAGGGTTTCGGGATTCCGTTTAAATAAGTACCTCGCCCGGTCTTTTTGGGGTAGCTTCGGAAACGGAAATATCTAAGCCAATACACCCTTTACGCCGACATACACACTAGCCTTATGCCGGTTATCAGGCTATACAATAAAAGCTTTTGTTTACGAAAAGCATCGATATTAAAACTAGAAGAAAATTAACACTGCGGTTTACGTTGCTTCACTTCATGGTTAATACAGCTGCCTACGTTGAAATATGCTGGCATGGTTCAAGATTCTTTTCATTGCTTGCTTGATCTGGCAGAGTGCTTCTGTGAGAGGTGGGAAAGGTCGTGACTTTATTGTTATGGAGTAGCGGGCCTTCTCGGGCCTCCATCCATTTCTGCCGCACCACACAGCCTGCCCGCTATGGGCAAAACTCTGGAGATCAGATCCGGTGCAACGCACCGATCCTCCTTTTGTACTCTTTAACTTTTGATAGTCAAATCCACGATATTCTATTGCTGTTGGAAGGGCACCTCGTGATCGCACAGGAACTGGCGTCCAAGGTCTGGAGAACTTTGGTCCGGAAGAATTCACGCTCTAGATCCGGGCTCCATACTGGAGCCGGACGGACAAACACACCGGACCGTGCACGTGGCCTCCGCACTCGGGGCGCTCCGCGCCCCGAACAACGCGTCCGCGTTCCGTACGACCCTCTCTTGTACTTAGAAAATAGGACAGCTTCTAGATATTTTGCAATGCAACTAGAAGCCTTTCCCATCCGACCTTAAAAGGCTGTCCACGAACAATTGCAGCCCTGCCATTTTGATATCGGGGATCCCTAACACTTATATACATAGTGGGCAGCCCGGCGTGGCTCGTGCTCCTAGTCACTAGCCAGAGGCATATTTGCAATCTCAACACGAGCAACAACCCCTCGCCGTCGATGGAGGGCTGCGTGACCAGCGAAAAACCTGCAGCACCACATGAGATAGGCGGTGCTGCTGCCCCTCGGAGAAGGTCGACTATGATAGTGGCACAGACAGAAAGTATAATCCTAGGAATCTTTAGCTGAAGAAATACAACCGACGAATAAATTGGACTAAGGATTTCGTTCAGTGGAATGCCGTGTTTGGTTTTTCAACCGGTTGAGAGAGTTGAACTTTTAGCCCCGTAGATCCTGTAGATCGCCCGGGGCCCTTGTTCTCGATCCCCTAGTAAATGACGTGCAGGCAAAGCCACGGGCTCTGTAGTTCCATTCCCCCAGATCAGCGCCTTGTTTACCTATATGAGGTAGTTGAAGATGTCACGAGATATCTGCCCAGGGGCCGGCCATGACGTAGTTGAAGATATCTCGAGATGTAGAGGGCCTAAAGTGCCGGCATGTGCATCAATTGAACGCCCTTTTTCTAGCAATAGATTCAACTCAACTACAGCCTATCTAGTCAACTTGACGCCTTCCCAACGCTCCAAAAACAATGCCTTCAACTCTCGCCCCCTCCTCCCCCTCGTTTGCCGGCCTTTCGGTGCACCAATGCCGTCGTTATCTGCTACATTGCATGCTAGCGGTAGTTAGTACGACCCTCCACAACCGCCTGCGAGGCTCCTGGGACGCTGTTTATCAGTCTGTTCACAACTCCTTTTGGGCCGGGGATACAGTCCTCCAGTACTGGCTCCGCCCTGCCGCCTCGCAGGGCTTCAAGGAGATCTTCCGTATGACCCCGGTGGCTTTCATGAAGCTCTGCGAATGGGTTGAAACCCGTGGTCTTGCCAGGGGCTCTTCCCGGATCTCCCTGGCAGCGAAAATAGCCTCGTTCCTGTATATCTGTGGCCAAGGGGCCTCGATCCGCATGGCCGCTCACTTTTGGAACCACAGCACGGAGACAATCTGCCGCAATTTCCACGAGATTCTGACCGCCTTCCTCGCCCTCCACGACGCTTTTGTGCGGCCCCAGCGCCTCCCAGACGTCCCTGAACCCGAGCGGATGCGCCCAAACGTTCGTCGGGCCTTTAAAGGCTGTCTGGGCGCTGTTGACGGCACTTTGATCGAGGCACGGTTGCCGAGGAGGGTCGCCAACGGGTGGCGGAGTCGGAAAGGCAGTACTGCACAAAACGTTTTCGCGGCCGTTGATCACCGTGGGCGGTTCGTTTTCGTGTTGGCAAGGGTGCAGGGGTCGGTACACGACTCTAAACTCCTCCGGTTAGCTAGACAGGCCGGATTTGCAGTCCCAAAGGGCTGTTTTTACCTAGGGGATGCCGGCTTTTACCATGGCGACGGCATCTTAATGCCCTACAGGGCGACGAGATACCACCTTCAGGAACAAGGGTTGGCCCGGCCGGAATCGAGGGAAGAGATTTTTAACCTGTACCACGCAAAAATGCGGGCAGTTGTTGAAGATGCCTTTGGGATCCTAAAGAGACGTTGGAAGATCATCAGAAACAATGCCCCGGAGTACGGATTCGACCACCAAGTCGACATTCTGTTGGCTGTTACGGGCCTGCATAACTTCATTCAAGAAAGCGCGCCCGGGGCATCTTTAGCATACCTTTCTGATGCCGAAAGGTCGTTTGTAGGGCGAGAAACGACGGAAGGAAGCGAGGCATTCCTGGCGGAAGTTGGTGAACGGGCGTTATTGATCGGGGCGGGAGGATTGCCCATGCGAAAGGCAAAGGAGTTTTGGGACGCATATCGGGACCGGATTGCCGATACTTTGTGGCGGGACTACCTGGCCTACAAACGTCGCCTGGAAACAGGAGAACAACACTAAAGGTCGTTTCGACGAGGGGATTCCGGTGCAGGTATCAGCTTGTTAATTGGGTAACTGGTTGGCGAGCGACGTTGGCGGAGGGCAAGCGAGGCTATAGGTAATCGGACGAGAGGCAATAAAGTAGTGGTAAGCAAAACGGTGGCGGCAACGCTGCATTCGGGGAGGAAAAGAAGTATACCACGAAAATGCCCTAGGTGCGAGGAATGCAAAAAAGCTATCCCCGAAGTAAACGGATCGAATTTGGCCGAGTTGTAGTGGCGGCAGTGTGGGAAATTGAGATTTGCATGCAGATCCTAAGGGGGGTTGCCATAAAGCCACACAATTTAACCTGAATAGGAACATTTTAGCGAACTTTCTAGCGATCAGTGAGGGGTTAATCCAATCGGAAGCAGGCTCATTTTTTTGCCACGGCCTAATCGGATTTGTTTTCGTTAATGCAAAAGCGATAAATTCCCTTTCCGACAACTCTCGAACACAATCTGAAATATCTCGACAAAGGAAAATCACCAGACAATGAGACTACTTTCGTTCGAACCGCCTTTATCCAAGCATCGCGCTCATCGAATCGCCTCGCACGAACTCCCAAATTAACTCCCTGTCCTCCTCCGACGAAAGCCACCAGACCGCGATCTCCGTGTCGGCCTTGAACGCCGAAATCAACTTGCAGCGATCCCTCGCAACCAATCTCTCTTTCCATGGCGCCTTGTTCAGCGTTTTCGAGGCCTCAACCCACTTCTCTAGGCCGCGCAGGTAGTAGGGACTGGGCGCGCCTCGAGACGTGCCGGCGGAGGAGGTAAGGGAAGGCTCAAAAGACCCCGGCGTTGCAGGGCAAGGCTGGCCTGCCAGCGTGCGTGCGGCCTCCCTAAGGCTCTCCCCGACGTAGTACTGCGCCCGGGCGACTGTTAAGGCCTGAGGGGGGCCGGAAGGAGTCGCTACCGGGCCGGGAAACGCACCGCCTGCACCGTCTGCACTGTCGTTAAACTCGCTCTCGAAGGGGTCCTGTTCAGCCTCGGGCAAGGGCCGGGCACGGCCCTGATCGCGCAGGCGCCCGCCTGCCGTGGTTGCGAGGTCCCCGGAGGCCCAGTTGCCGTCAAAAACGGCCCGGCAGAGATCGAGATGCTCCGGCGGCCCCTTGCGGATCCAACGGGCCGCAGAGTTGACTTGAAAGTAAGCCTCAAAGCAGTTGCGGCTGGCGATATATCTGCCTGTATCTGGATCAACGCTAACCCCTGACCGCTTCCCAAAGCCCTCCCACTCTCTGTAGCGCTTTTTCAGATACATATACTTGCTTTTGACCTTCCCTTTCCACGAGATGGAGGGCCACTGCCTGCGCAACTTCCGTTCAGCTTTTGAGAAGGCCTTGCGTTGCCAGTTACTGATGCGGGGGTCCAACTGCCCGGCCCGGCCCATGCCCGCCAGCACCTGCAAAAAGCGCACTACTTGAGCGCCGGACCAGACGAACCCTTTACCTCGCCCCCGGGCGCGTTGTGAGGCCGGCAGGGAGACTTGGGAGGCCGGCAGGGAGGCGGGGATAACGTCGGTATCGTCGTCGGCCTCGTCGTCGACCTCGTCGTCGGCCTCGATTTCCTCGTCTGACGGCTCTAGGGAAAGCTCAAAAGCATCCCCGGGATCAGAGTCGAAGGGGTCGTCAAAGGCGGGGACCGGGGTGGGCGGCAGAGAGGTGCCGAGGGTGACGTGCGAGGACTGCAGGGCAGGCGTTTCCTCGTTAAAAGAAACGTCAGAAGCGGTGGGAGAGGGGCTGGCAGGCGGAGGAGATTCCTCACGGCGTTGGGAGCGGGTTAACCGCCTGCTTGAGGGACGAGTAAGCATGCCGGGCAAAGTGGCAAAGGGAGGGGAAGTTGATTGTTGCTTGGAGATAGCGACTGGCACAAAGGCGTGCACTCTCTGGGCTATATAGCCTCGTTTTCTCTGTATTCAGGGCTTCAGAATGCACTAGAAATCAACATCGTAGGCCTGAAGTACCCCCAGTCGGTGCGAGTGTTTATGACGTATTTTTTTATTTCCCTGATTTTGTGAATAGCTTCAGTTTTTGCCTAGTTCTTCCCAGTGGTGGCGGCGAGGCCCTGCCACGAGGCTTAGGCGAGACTGATCTTGGCCTGCGCCTGCAAAATCTCTACGTCACTGACCAGGACCCCCCTCGCCGTTGAATCTACCGGACGTGCTACCCCTACAAGCGCCACGGCCCCTGACAATCTACAGGATCTACAGGGCTAAAAGTTCAACTCTCTCAACCGGTTGAAAAACCAAACACGGCAGAAGCCACCACTAGCAGCTAAAAAAGCTTAACAGCTATAAGCCCTAGGCAGTGTAACACCCCAGTCGACACCCAGCCTCACAAGCGTCACGGTTGTCAGCTATAGGGCCTCGTTCAGCCCCAGCAACCTGTAACGGGCCTTACACCGGCACACTGGCTACCCGGAAACAAGGTGACGATCATGCAAAGGACTAGGCGGACTAGAAACAGGAGTTCGCAAGCCTAACTGTAAGCGGATGGCTTAGGCCAAAGGGGATCTAGGACGGATTAGGTATATAAAGGGGTGGACAGTCCCAACAAGACTTGGAGGAACAAGCAACGGTTTCTGTTTTCCTGTGCACACACAACTTGATCAAATAGACACCAACCTGCTCCAGTGGCATTGCGGATTCTGCCACAGCGGCCCCAGTCCCAGTCCATATATCTGGTAGTGTAGATTCTGCACGGCCAAGGCGCAGACATGCTAGAGAAGGACCGCGATGATGCTGTTGTTGGTGTCAGCTGTCAGATGCGAAAGTACTCAATGTTGCTGTATGGATTGATCGAGAAGATTCTAGGTGGCAAAACAAGAAGGGGCAAAATCGGTGCACGGACCAAATCTCTGTGTATATCTACGAGAACAGCAATCCTCTTCAAAGTCTGGCAGTTGGCGATACCAGGGGGTGATCCACCTCCAGAACAAATGTGGCTAGCCCCAGCACCCAAAGCGGGGGATCAATTGGATCCACTCCGTAAGCCGCACGCCGTGGCAGGGCTAGAACTCGCCACGCCGGGGGTGTGCAGAGAGCCAGTTGCGCCTGTCAGAGACACCCTGTCCTCCACCCCCGCTTTCTTATCACTATCCGGCAAATATCGTGTGCAGTTGTATGTTGCAATGTTTGAGTTGGATCGTGACAGGGGGTTTTTGATTAACGCGACCGTGGGCGTCGGCGAAATGAATCGTGGAATCGACGCTACGCACGACAAGGGCAGGGGTAAACATCCCTGAACAACACAGAAAAGGGACTTATTGCACGCCTCTTTTTAGATCGATGCGGCCAAAGCGGGGAGCGGGCGCCAGCAAGAACTGGCACCGCTACAGGCTTCCTAATTAGGATAAAACCCAGTCCCACAAAGGTGGACCCGGCCTGGGCTAGGCTGCATTGCGGACGTTGGCAGGCGAGTAATTGCTGTTAATTGGTGGGGCCCAAATTAGGCAACCGGTCAGCCGGGTCCCGGCTTGCGACATGGGGCGCGTTCCGTGTCGATTTGCCCGGCCTTTCGAGTGCCCCCTTGTTGCCCAACTTTAATCCTGATTCCGCATAGCGCGCGCTAAAGTGGTACCTTGCTTTGACGCTGCAACCCGTGGACGCGACGAGCACCCAGAGAATCCGCACTTGCGCTTGAGTCAGCAAATTACTGCACTAAAGCGCAGTGGGTCGCCACCCCTCCCATCCGCTGAAACCCGGATTCGAACCCTGGCGCATCCATTTCTTTGCTTTTTCTTGTGCATTGTGATTACCACGGCTCTGGTATTGCTTTCCCTCCAGCCATGTCACCCTGCACTATTGTGTGCGCCGAGCGGTACGGGAGGAGGGAAAGCGTGGGGATTGCTTCATGGCAGGCCGTCCTTGGCCCGCTCTCGATGCTTTCTCCATCACAGAGCCGGCTACGCCTACCCAGCGGCGTGGCACTTCCTCGGAGTGGCGGTAGGAAAAACATCGTTACTGTCACCAGGGGGGTGTTGCAACCTCGCAAACTGCCCGAATCAAGTGTGTCAATACGAAGCTAAAATTGTTTGTTGGTAGACGCAAGCGCGAATAGCTCCAAAATGCAACTTTAGGCTCACTGTTAATAGGTCGAGCCGGGGAGCCTGGTCGGAGAGGTACCGCCGGCGGGGGTGAGCGAGATGGTGGGTGGCCTGTGACCTCTGCCTGCTGGAACTGCCAGGTGCATAAATTCCCCGTAGGGCTGTGTAGCCCGCTGCCCTTAAACGCCGGCTCCGGAGCCACAGGTTCAGCTTCTTCAGGTTCGTTCGAACGGTATCCTTCCGGTCTAGCAAAGTTTGGGTTTACCAGTCCCGGTCGCCATGGCCTCATCAACAACAGCCGGCGGGGGCACCCAGCCGCTGTCGGTCACTTACGAGGGCTACGTCGGGACCACGATGGATGCTCTCATCATTTTCGAGGCCTGTTTACAAGGCTCTCTGTACTGCGTCCCACGCCGACCGTACCATTACGAGCGAGAGACACTGATCAGGAGCGGCGCCGTTTTCGTTTACGAGGAGTGCTTATCGGGTATTAAGAGGTGGACGGATGGCTACAATTGGAGTCCCAGCCGGATACTCGGCAACTTCCTAATTTACCGCGAGCTCGAAGGACCGTTCCCAATCGGGGAGAAGAAGCGAGCGCGAAAGCCAAAAAAGAACACGCCCTCCGAGACGGCCGAGAGCGCAAGAGCGGCGGCAGCCATGGGCGCGACCAACAGCCAGGCAGCAAGTCTGGGGGATGGCGAGCAGAGCCGGGCCGAGTCGGAGCAATCGCTAATCGGGTCGCTTATTGACTCGTACCCTTTCAAAGAGGGCGGCTTAGTCAAAAAGACGATCAGCGTCCAGTGGCGGGGCGCGTTTTATCGTTTTATTTCATACTACAAACCTGAAGACGTGCTAGCCAAGAAGCTCCTATCACCCTCAGACCACCTCTGGCTTAGCAACATCACCCCTCGCGCGGAGCTTTTCACCAAACAAAGTTTCCGCAACCTCGTCACGGCCTTGGACCCCATATATATCTCACACCTCCGGAGCGAGCCTGGGTCCGATTATCTGCACCCCCACAGCGGCCTTCCCATGCCCACAGCAGCAACTGGGTCGATATCTCCGCCGGCCTGTACTCCCATCATTCCACAGGTCATGTATCAACCGTTCTTTCTGCCGGTCTCCCACGTGCCCTGTCGAGCTGCGTATACACATTACGAGGCGCCGAAGGAGCATTACGGGCCCCCCAACGGCCGCTACGAGGCGCACGCCGGTAATACACTTGGCATGTCGAACCTTACGGCATCTATACCACCTAATATAAAAGAGTGGTGGGATGTTTGGGGGTAGACATGGGGGGGGGGGGGGGGGGGGGGGACGGGG